CAATAGATTATATCATCGGGTTTAAGACCAGACCGTCACTCAAGTTCATCACCAAGCACTGTCGCGCCACCACCAGCAATATTAGGCGAGGTGTTGGATGCATGATTCCTTGGTCGAAGTTCATTGCTGACGACAGCCACTTCATTGACGGCAAAGTCCATCTGCGGGTTCAGGTGAAGGTAACGCCGCAGCCATAGTGAAGATGCGCGCATTAGCCATGAGCTTTATGTGCCTTGCTCAAGCCCCTCTTTGTTTTTGTGAGCGAGGAGAGAAGCCCTTGTTATTGTGAAACATGAAGAAACCTGAACTGGGGTGTTCCAGTATTTTGCTAGCATTTGTTCTCTCTTTGGTAACTGGATTCTACCATGCAAACATCTAGAATTTGTTGCTACCATCTCACGTACCAGATGCTAAACTTTGAAGTGTGCGCATGTGTTTTGAACTTTTGCTATGCAGAGTGCACCGCCAATGATTCTGTGGATTGTAATCCTCAGTGAATATTATGTGATCATCTGTTGATGATGACTATCTCTGTACATTTTAGTATTATTTTCCTAGCGGTTGATACGTTTTCTTTTCACATAATACAAAATTGTCAACTGTGATCACAAGTCCGTTGCTTTGATAATTAGAAATTTCAGTGTAGACGAATGTTCAAAACTTTATGTACTATCCAGTGTAGATGAATATCTAGTACCTTTTCCTGAATGCTATTATTGTGAGTAAGTAGATTGCCCTTAAAGCACAACTGAAGCAAAACTTTAGTTAAAGGTCACCTTCACGGGCCATGGTTTTGTGTATATTTCAGTTGATGTTCACCTTCTTAGGTGCTCAGCTTTTGCAGTATGTAGGGTAAATCTGCAATATAAGACACATAAAGTGTAGTGAATACTCATAAGACATAAACAACTACTTGAAACAACGAATACAATTCATAATACTCTCCACAAGGCCCTCAGGGATCCAAAGCATTGATGATGAACTAAAACATTCAAACAGAGCTTGAATCGATCTGGGGGCAGCCGCAATGTCACACATCAACACCACCTTACACCACTCGATTTGCTCTGCATTGCCATTTTGCCGCCGCCGACACCCATTACATTATCAGAAACCTGGGCGACAAAAAATATGGCATGGAGAAAGCCAATCTTGCCATTCGTCGATGGTTATATCATGGGATTATCAGCCAACGCATTTGAAGATGTGTCAATAGTTATGGAGATGTTCAAACTTATACTCCCACCGTCCCATAATATAAGAACGTTTTTGACATTAGTGTTGTGAGCTCCCTTTGTTCCCACGCCACCCAGCCAGATGTCTCGGTTGCTCATGTCATCCAACATGGCCTAGACAGGGGGCTCGTCCCGCGCCTAAACCATGCCGGTGCCCGCGAGCGTGTTGCCCTTCTCCCCATCATCCAGGCGATGGCTCTGACGTCGACCCCGGATGAGCGGACCCTTCGCCCTGGCTGTGCCAAAGGTAACTCGCTCTCTTCCGCTGGGGTCTACCAGCTCTGCCACTTTGGCGGTGTGAGAGCGTCGTTCATCGACTTCGTCTGGGCCAACTACACCCCCAGCAGGGTCCGCTTCTTTGCTTGGCTGCTGGTTCAGGCTCGGATCCACACAAGGGATGTCCTCCTGCGGAAGCACATCGTGGAACCGGCCGGTGCGGGATGCCCCATCTGCTCGGCCACGCTGGAGTCGGCGGACCATCTCATCTTCGCCTGCCCGTTTGCACGGCAGTTTTGGACCTCGGTCGGGGTTG